AGGCCAAAATGTTTAGTTTTTTGGAACAATGTGGTCAATTTATAGGCTGGAGTGGTCAGTTCATATTAGTGATATTGGTCATGCAGTTATTCATATATACAAATGTTGTTGTAAATATTACACTGCTAGTAGATAATAGTGAACAAGAATTGTGATCCTTATTGTTTTGTAAATGCTTAATATATTTTTTTCATACCCCATACTGTTTTTTCTTCATTTTCTTCAAGAATCTGCAAGAAGCTAATGAACACCTACAGAAACAGGTGACCGACTTGACTAAGAATCTGGATGACTCTGTGCAAGAAATGGACAGAATGACGGATGACTACACCAAACTGAAAGCGGTTTTCCAGCAATCAGATACGTTTTTGGAAAACCTAAGGAAGGAAAATGGTGTGCTCAAAGAACAGGTCAGCTTATAACGTGTTACAATATGTTAATTAATTACGGTAGATTGTGTAGTATGAATCATTTTATTTTATCGCAGACTATGAAAATATTTTTACTTTTACTTTTTTTTTTGTATCTCTTCTTAGATTCATGATTTGCATCGACAAGTTTCCGGTAAAACGGATGCAGATGACGAAATAATGGGAGCGCTAAATAAGAAGGTGGATGAATGGAAGGTAGGACCTCAATAACAATTACAAATCCAGTCGAACTTTGGCGATGCCCGCCATCTTAAAGAATCCGTCTCTTTACAGGAACAGTCTGTACCTATGGCAACAGATATTACATGCATGAATCACTAGAGTGATAAAAATAAATTGTAAAATAAATTGTTGTAATCTCTAGGAATCCATGGCTGAGAAGGACGAAGAGATTGATGAACTGAACAAAGTGATAAGTCAACAACGCGAACAGTTGATGCATGCCCAGATGGACACGGATAAAACATCAGTGGTTGCCTTGTCACAGGTAAGACAATGATACACACATGAATTTGTTGAATGACTTGAATGTAAAATATAGGAAAAAAATTGTATATTCGCTAGATTTTATTTTCACTGAATCATCTCTGAAAATAAAGTGAAAATAAATGGCAAGCAAACGTATAGTATTATGCAGTATCTAAATTTTGACTATTAATTGGAAATATTAAATTATTTGGAAATTAAATTTAATTTAATTTAAAAGTAAATGTGTAACAAGTAGACATATTTTCTAATTTCTTACAAGTCTTGGTCAAATTTTTCAATAAATGTATGGAAAAAATTATGCATTAAATATCCATTCACTTTCTATTGCTGCCTACTTTAAAGAATGCTTACATGTGCAATTTTTCGCTTATCACTATCTCTGTATTTCCTCTACAGGCACTGCAAGAAAAAAACTTACTGATAGAACAACTACAAAGACAGTTAGAAGAAGCTGCAGACAAGATGGAAGAAGAGACAGCGTTACTGGATGATTTCAAAACTCAAGCTGCTACAGGAGGAGGTCAGTGGTAAAACACCAATAGGATTCTTTCTCTTATCAATATATACTTTGTAACATGCTTTTTCATTGGGTGATCAGTATTTGGTATTAACCAATGAACATCTTTTAGATTTAAATTTTAATTTTCTACTGATTATGTAAGACCCATTGCTATTGGTTGATTTTTCTGCACAAGCAACCAATAAAAAAGATGGTTATTAAAAATAAGTAATATTTTAATGGAGAGCAAGTATCATGTATCTACATGCACCTTGAAACAGTTTTGAAGTTTTAGTACAAGAAGTGTATTGATCCAATTGTTTCCTTATATCTATCATCTCTATTTGACAAATCTTGAATCAAATAAATATTGTTTTTTTTTTTAGCACCATCCATTCAACAGCAGAATCAAATTCGTAGATTACGTGAGACGATCAAACAACTTGAAATTGAAACTAAAGCTGCCGATGATAGAACGTCGCAAGCCGAGGCTGACGCTCGTGAGAAAGATAAACAACTCAGTGATGCTTTGGTTCGAATGAGAGAATACGAAGCAGTAAGTGAAATAATTTTTTTTTTTAATAATAATGATAATGATTTTTTGTACAGAATTCCCTGCACAAGCTTTTGTACTACGTGTATGGTTTGATTTTTTTTTTTTGGCAAAACAATATTCCAATTTTCTATATATCTGTTTTTAAATTTAATGTTGATTTAATAGTTTGTGGTTGTAATGTTAATGCAACTTATTAAAAAATGTATGTTCCATATTATCTGCTTAAATATTTGAAAGTGTTTAATAATTACCCGAAAAATACAATGTTTAATTGTATGATGTCATCATTTGACATTGAATAGGAGACATCCCAGCTAAATAATGCCGTAAAATTATAAACCAGCAATTTAGTTAATATTTATAGATTTTTTTATTTATCAATATTTATTTATCTATGGATGAGGTTTGTCAAAATCATCAAAATAGTCAATTATCACATAGTATTATAGATGCAGTGGTTACAATATTTAATTTCAGACAACTTTTCTCTAACTTGGGAAAAAGATTGCATCACTGTTTATGTGTTCATGTACTACCCGTATTAATAATTCAATTCAATAATTAAATATTCTTGGTGCCATGAGGAGTATGGACTGGACAGTGAAACATGTATATTTACAGTGAATCGGCTAACTCACTCAGCACTTTAATGCTTCATCCTTGCAGGGTGAATACGGACTGGCTGATGCTGTACAAGAAATCAAAGATGGTAAAAAACAGATCGGTGTACGTGATAAGTAAGTTCATACCTTGACTTTTTCACTCTCTTTGTGTGTATATGTCATCAGACTGGTCTAAATAATACAGTAAAATTCTCTGTTAAATTGATTTATTTCTTGTATATATATAATATTTATAATTATCAAACTTAAGAACGGGCTACCAGTAAAACATTTACTTAGCAGTCATTGATTACCAGGGATCAAACTTGAAAATAAAACCTCATCATCCGGCTTCTCTGAAAAAATGGGTTTCAACATGAAAATATTTGTTTTTATGTATTTTTCTAATTTTTTTGATAATTTTAGACCAAAAGGACATTATTTGCTATCAACTACAAGTCTTAATCTAAATTGTAGAAAAATCTCAAATAAATTATACTGGTTTGTGAATTTGTGACAAAAGTTGACTTTGGCATTGAAATTGTTAGCCATTGAATAGCGAAACTAACATTTGTTGTTTGTTTTTTTTACAATAAACTTAATATTTGTTAGCATCAAGAAAGCCAGTCAGGATTTGGCTTTTCTAACAACTGCTCTAAAATAAATTGTCAAATTTTCATCAAAAATGTCCTAGGTACTATGACAAAACTTCGCTGGACTTGGACAACCATTTTTCATATTTGTTTGCCCCATAAAAAAACACAATTGTCTGGGACAGCTGGACATCTACCAATTTTGATTTTTTTATTACTCAGGGACATTGAAAAGTTGACCCAGCACGTCAATAAACTTGAACTCCAAATGAATGACTTGATGGAAGAAAACGAAGACCTGCGTGAACGTCTTGGTCTGGATCCTAAAGAGCCGATTGATCTGACTGAGTTCCGGATGAACCGAGCTGTGCAGGCACAGCAGGACAGGGCAATGAACCAGGTACTGACTAAAGAGATTGAACGCCTGGAAGAAGAAAGGTTAGATTTGAAGCGAGACATCAGACGTCTTGCTGGAACACGAGGAGCAAGGTTTGTTTCTTTTTGTGTGCTTTTCACCCTAAGATTCAAGCATGTAAATATAAAGTTGTGTTTATATCTATTATTTTTATTTCAAGAAATCAACATGTTCTCATTAATTCTAAAGCAAATACATGCATCAATCAAACTTTTGAATCTTTTTTATTATTTTCCACTGTCGACTTTGTTAAGTGGAGCTTAACATATGAGTGATTGTCTGTCATAGTTCGTTGTCGTCCATGTCAATGTTTTACTTTTTCGACTTCTTCTTGAAAACTACAAGCCTGAATACGTTGATACTTGGTGTATATGTACCTTGGGTAGACCTTTCTTAGATTTGTTCATTTCATGATATCTTCAATTCTCTAATTTTGATGAATATTATTACATATATAGGTACTGCATGTGGACCTCTCTCAGATTTGTTGATTTGTTGTTTGAGACAAACTATTGATTTATTTTCTTCATTTTGAAAACAATTGATACATGGGCAAGATGTGAAAGATTTTATATGACTTCATTCTTTGATTTTATTGTAAACAAAATTAAATAAATTAAACATGAAGTAATTTCTATGAGATGATTTTAATGGTACAAAGTCAGTGGTTCAAATATGTATCGATTTTAAATTTACCATTCAACATTTTTCCCAGGGCCGTGGCTGAAGGTCTAACAGCAGATCAGCTTGACGCTGTGGATGAGTATATTGGAGAAATGAAAACTGGTCGTTTTGGTTCCACTGGTGGATCACAAAGATTTTCAGATACTGTAAAAAGAGCTATGACGATGGAAAAAGACAAGGCGTTTGATACAATAAAAATAAAGGTATGTGCATGTATGTGTGGTTACAATGACATGTCCCTTCAGAATGACATCTCCTTTCAGAATGACATCTCCTTTCAGAATGACGTATCACTTCAGAATGACATGTCACTTCAGAATGACCTGTCACTTCAGATGACGTGTCACTTCAGATGACATCTCCTTCAGAATGACATCTCCCTTCAGAATGACGTATTACTTCAAAATGCTGTGTCACTTCAGAATGCAGTGTCACTTCAGAATGACGTATCACTTCAGAATGACATCTCCTTCAGAATGACATCTCCCTTCAGAATGACATCTCCCTTCAGAATGACATCTCCCTTCAGAATGACATCTTCCTTCAGAATGACGTATCACTTTAAAATGCTGTGTCACTTCAGAATGCTGTGTCACTTCAGAATGACATTTCCCTTCAGAATGACATCTCCCTTCAGAATGACATCTCCCTTCAGAATGACATCTCCCTTCAGAATGACGTATTACTTCAAAATGCTGTGTCACTTCAGAATGCAGTGTCACTTCAGAATGACATTTCCCTTCAGAATGACGTATCACTTCAGAATGACATATCCCTTCAGAATGACATCTCCCTTCAGAATGACATCTCCCTTCAGAATGACGTATCATTTTAAAATGCTGTGTCACTTCAGAATGCTGTGTCATTCAGAATGACGTGTCACTTCAAAATGACGTGTAACTTCAGAATTAGGTATCACTTCAGAATGACATCTCCCTTCAGATTGACATCTCCCTTCAGATTGACATCTCCCTTCAGAATGACATGTCACTTCATAATGACGTGCCATTTCAGAATGCTGTGTCACTTCAGAATGACATGTACCTTTAGAATGACATGTACCTTTAGAATGACATGTACCTTTAGAATGACATGTACCTTTAGAATGACATGTACCTTCAGAATGACATGTACCTTCAGAATGACATGTACCTTCAGATTGACATCTCCCTTCAGAATGACATGTTACTTCATAATGACGTGCCATTTCAGAATGCTGTGTAACTTCATAATGACGTGTCAGTTCATAATCACGTGTCAGTTCATAATCACGTGTCAGTTCATAATCACATGTCAGTTCATAATCACGTGTCAGTTCATAATCACGTGTCAGTTCATAATCACGTGTAACTTCAGAATGCCATGTAACTTCAGAATGCCATGTAACTTCAGAATGCTGTTTCACTTCAGAATCACGTGTCACTTTTAAAAGAATGTGTCTATCAGAAGTGACATGCGTTGCTATTAAGAGCGACATGGGAGTCTTATGTTTCACTGTCAGAAGTGATATCTGTCCCACCTACACGTATTAGTATATTAAATGCAATTTTTAATAAAATAATAACTAATTTTTCTATTTTTCAGGCGACACAAATGGAGAAGGAGCTTGACTTGCAAGAGAAGATTGCGGACAAACTCCGAACTCAGGTCAAAGAGTTTGAAACTAAAAACAAAGATATACAGGAGGAGAATAAACAACTCCAGAAAGGAATGCGAGAGATTCTAGATGCTATAAAAGACAATCATGCCAAGCCTGGCGGCAATGAAAGCTATTTACAGATACCCACTTTAGAGCGGTTGTTAGCGGTGAGTAATTATATACAATTTGTTTGTCACATTATGCCGTCAATCTGTGGGGTGTTAATGAAGAGAAACCTAAGGAGTCTCAATAATTGAATATTTCAAAATGTTGTACTGTCAAATACTTTATTTTTGCTTGGAATTCATTTTTACCTTTTTTCTGATATTTTACATTCAACTCACCAAAATTGAGCGAAAAACACCAAAAAAAAAAAGTTTTTTCAGCGAAAATTAATTCCAGCTAAAATAATATATTTTTTACAGTACATGTTATTGTTATGGACTCTCTAAGCTCTTGGAAGTGAATTGCATAACAATATTTACAGACTTGGATGCGATATTGTAATTTAATGTTATCCTTTACTTGGCAAATATTCAGGTGACAAAATTTGTACCATAGTTCAGACATCTGAATAAAAGAAATCAAAACCCTTTGCAGCTTTTAACTTGAAAATCAACAATAAATTGTTTTTTATTCATTTTACAGATGATGGAGGCTAGAAATTTGGATGGGAAATATGACATGCAGGTGTTCATGAAAGCACAGATTGACCAATTAACAGGACGAAATGATGAACTTAGACGGGAATTGCGAGATGCCCGTACTGATTACGAGAAAACAAGGCTACTGCTAGAAAAAGAGAAGACTCAGGTAATATTATGATAGTAGTTATTATTGAATTTCAAAACCATTTACACAGCCACATCTAAGATATAATTAATGATGTTACATGACTACAATTATACCTCCAGAAAGTACCAGGATGTGTGACCTTTAGGGCACATGCATTAGTACCAGGATGTGTGACCATTAGGGCACATGCATTAGTACCAGGATGTGTGACCATTAGGGCACATGCATTAGTACCAGGATGTGTGACCATTAGGGCACATGCATTAGTACCAGGATGTGTGACCATTAGGGCACATGCATTAGTACCAGGATGTGTGACCTTTAGGGCACATGCATTTGTACCAGGATGTGTAACGTTTAGGGGTCATGCAATGTGTACCAGGATGTGTGACCTTTAGGGGCATGCATGAGTACCAGGATGTGTGACCTTTAGGGGTCATGCATGAGTACCAGGATGTGTGACCTTTAGGGGGCATGTATGAGTACCAGGATGTGTAACCTTTAGGGGGCATGTATGAGTACCAGGATGTGTGACCTTTAAGGGGGGCATGCATGAGTACCAGGATGTGTGACCTTTAGGGGGCATGTATGAGTACCAGGATGTGTGACCTTTAAGGGGGGCATGCATGAGGCCTGTGGATGTGTGACCTTTAGAGGTCATACATGAGGCCTGTGGAACACTGTACACTTCATAACTTATTTATATGATTGTAACACTTTCAGGTTGAAAAACTGGAGAAAGATCTGAAAGCTCTGAGAGAGGTTGGGAAGGGTGCTGTGGCAATACAACATATGCCACTGCCTGATGGTATGGCTGTGTCCAGTGCTGAGGTCATCAGCTGTCTTAATGAACATCTGGTGCAGGTTATACAGGTGAGTTAGTCATTGGTTGAATAAGTGTCACATGACTGAAATATAGTTGTATGATTGGTGAGTTTCTGCAGTGGCGAGGACAGCTGTTTTAAGGTAGAAATCTTACTCATAATTAAAAATATTCAGAATTTATTCATTTTGCAATAAATTTTTCTCCCAGGCAATATAAGGATATTGACTGAAAGTTTGGGGTCACGTACCAGCCTAAATTTTTGAGAAAATGATTGTATTTTAGTGGATAGTGGCTATTTTGGCAGTAACACTTTTACCATAGGCTTTTATGACAAAAATATCTCAAATTGTAGGATGGTGAGATAATGTGAAAACATCATATATTGTTATTATTAGGATGATGATAAGGCATAGCTGTTCCTTATTAATATAAGTGATTGTCCATCACCGTCTGTTCGTCTGTCAATCGTCAATTGCATTTTCGACTTCTTCTTGAAAGTTACCAGCTTAATTGCTTTGATACTTAGTATGTAGGTACCTTGGGCGGACATCTGTCAGATTTCTTTATTTCATATCTTCAATTCTCTATTTTTTGAAAATATTTTATTTGTCTTTTTTGATAAAAAATGCTACATGTATGTTTGATTTTTTTCTTAGAAACTACCAACTCAATTGCTACTTGGTACATATGTATGTTGGTACCTTGGGTGGACCTTCGTCAGATTTGTTCATTACATGTCAATATCTTCAATTATATTTTTATTCTTTTTGGTAAAATACGTTATTTTTTATTCCTTCTTCAAAAATACTAGCTCAAATATGTCATAATAACACACACAAAATGCTATTTCATGTTGTCATAAGGTCAATATCTCCATGTTTGTACATTAAATTATAAGCTTTTTAGTATCTCAAATAGTACAACAAATGATCTCCTGTGCTGATCCATATTGGACAGTGATATATTAAACATATGGTTAAAGAGATGTTTCATAAAATATTGTTTTTACTTTTCACCAGGAACTAACCCTGAAAGAAGATATGTGTAAGAAGTTTGAAAATGCACTAGAGGTGTACAAACGAAAGTTTGCTGTGATGAGACACCAGCAGGGATTGGTTTACAGTGATTTTATGAATGAAAAGAAAGAGTGGCAGAGTGAGGTGGATAAATTACAGGAAGAAAAACGTAAACTAGAAGACCAGAAAGCTGAGGATGGTGTGAGAATTCAAGAATACAATGTGAGTGGCCTTATTGCTTGGTTTTATTGTTTATATGCCAGTGCACTGTGACATCATAGGCTTCTATTAAAGATATTTACATGGACCAGAACTACTGTAAATGCATGAATTATTCACTGGGTTTTAATTTTCCAATTTTCGCTAATAAATAAAATCTGCTAAATTAAATCTATGTGATGAACATGTAAAATAACAATAAAGCTCATTGTTTCTTTGACAAATTCATGAAATTAAAACACAGCGAATATGTTCAAAACATCAAAATATCAGTGAAAACGTCAGTGAAAATAAATGGTTTTACAGTAGTTTACATGTACAACCAACAAGATTGCTTATAAGTTGTTTTATTGACTATGACACATGCAGCAGGAAATGACATCACTTTTTCATAGGATTGTGGGTAATCACAGGCACTGTCAACTGGCATTTGCAACATTATATACATACTTTTGTAACAGTAACTTTCATTATTCATGATATTGTTGACATGAAGTTTTTGACGTATAATGTTTACAAATATCACATGTCGCATTAACCTAAATTGGAATATGCTGCAAATATCTTAACAGTAAACAGAACATCTCACATTCTTTTTTTCTAGAAAATTGAGTAACATAAAAGTCACAGCAATTTTACATAACTTTTCTTTAATGTCTAAATTTGTTTTCCCACTAGATTTTGTTATATATTTTTTCACATTTTGGTATCCAAATCGTTAGAATGTAAATTTAATAAAAATCTCTGACAAGTATTGTTCTTTTATATTATTTGCACAATCTCTGAAAAAAATCAAGGAATCCGAGTACTAACTGCAACTTTTGAGTAGATAGAGGGCGTCCTAACAAGAGATTCTCAAAGAAAACTATTTTTGTAACATGTGAACCTCTCAGCAGCCAATGTTTAAACATAGTTGAATACACTTATATATTTGCAAAATTTAAATATGTTAATTTTTCAGCGACTGCTTGAGACCTTACAAGAAAGTGGTGATGAACAGCAGAAGAGAATAGCCAATGCCAGTCGTAAAATGACCGTTCTACGAGTCAATGAGAAAACACTTACTAGAAGGTTCACCATGTCACAGGAAGTGGAAGCCACGCTCAGAAAGGTACGTGCCTCAGATGTCTGTTATTCCATAGTTGCTTGTATTAATTAATTAATTAATTAATTATTAATTGTTTTGTTCTGAGAAGATTTACAAATACAGTCAAACAAATACAGGTACTTAAAAGATGAATGGTCTTTGTGTGGAGAGTGATTATTTAATTCATGAATAAAAATACGACAATGATTTCTCAGTTTATGATATTTAAAAATGGGGAGTAAATAAAATTAGGTTTGTCATGAATAATTAAAAATGTCAGTGGATAGAGACTTGCAATCATCTTCCATCATTTTAGGATTTATACACAGGTTTATGTACTAAGCTTTTCAATTGCCTTTGTCTGACACAATTTTTGAAGCAGCATTTTGCACATTTTATGTATTTTTGTATAAATTCTTTATTAATTTTGAACCAGATATTATAATATTTTATTGCCATGATTCCAAGTCCTGATCGACATTTTTTGAATATTGTAAAAAAAAATTGCAGGTTTTTTTTTGTGAAGGTGAAAAAAGTCGACAGGTTTGACTGTAATTTAGAAAAACTCTTAGCAGTAATAACATTTTTTTTTTTCTGCTTTCAAAGTTGTATAATTTGAATCTGAAAAAATTCAGCTATATTTTTTTGGTTGTTTATTTAGGAGAACAACCGTCTACGAAATGAGATTGTCCAAATGGAAGCGGCTGTCACCAAGAGGCTTGGGTATTTGCAGAGACACAAGGTAAGAAATTTCAAGTGTAAATTAATTTGAAAATATTTAAAATACTTGTCTGTGAACTTTACTCTGACATGCGTGGACCAGATGTCTTGGTATCCGGTTGTTAGCTGTCAGTTGTTATGCAGCACAACTGCCAAGAACAGACCTAACTGACTCCGATAAAAAAAAAAGTATTGACTGGCTTCAACTTGAAATCTGATGAGACATACATTTAATCATTGATGACATGTTCTTTCAATGTTCGAATCCATACAAATTCAAAGTAACTACTCTAACGTTGATTTGTATAACTCCACAGGAGATGTCGCAGTTCAAGATAGCGGCACTACAAAGAGCCTTAGATGACAGCGTGCCGTCACAGGATCTGCAGGCTGCTAATAAACAGTACAATGAACTGGCTGCTAAATACCGTGATCTACTGGAAACAGATAATAAATTAGTCACAAGAAATGCTCACATTGACAGTCTAGAGGTAGGTCAAACTGGACAGTAAACTGATCTAATTTATGGGCTGAAAAATCACTGAAAAATCACAAAATGGTGTAGCAATGAAAATGCTATAAGAGTCCTAAGTAACTAATCATAGCAACTTTCACTGGCGTATTAGGGAGTTACAGTGATTTTTCTGGGTTTTCTAGGGGGTCACAGATTGTCATTGGTACACATGTGCAGTGAATGTTATTGTACATACCAGCCAGTGCTCATGAATATTAGAAAACTCAAACTCTGATGAGTGATACAAGAATAACGTTTTGAGGTCATGACAAATCATAGTCCAATGTAGCCATCGATATACATTATCAAACAAAATTAAAAATTACATTTTCTTGTCCATATTGCATTTTAAAATATGTATAATTATTTTTATCTTGTAGAATGAAAAGCAGAGGTTACTGTCAGAGGTTGACATGCTGAAGAGTGAACTGTCCACGGAGAAGCAAAAACTTCACACGTTGGAACAAGCTATAGATGAGATTACACGAATATCAGGTAAACAAAATGGCCGCCTTTCTGAGTGTATGTGCACTCATTAGAGGGGCACTTCCAATTAAGCCTAATCTCACAACAAATTTATTTTCTGGATTTAAATAACAATGGATAACAAAAGATAGATTAACATTGTAAAGAACATAAACAATAGTGTCCCATGATTATTTGGTGCAATCCTTGTGCTTGGAAGTTTTCTCTTTAAATATTGAAACATTATGTTAACAAAACGAATCCTACAAACTCAAATACTAGATGTAAAAGTTGCTTTAATTTTGCAAAAGATGGATTTTTGTGAATTATCTGGGAAAATTTGGTATAAAGTTTTGTATCTGTGTGTACCGGTTGTTGAAATACAACTTGGTTATCAACACATTGCCTGTTGGAGCTTTTCTATGCAATAGGTATTGACAATCTATGACTATATGTGGAGTCTTTCAGCAGTCAATGTATTAAGACAGTGAATAAAAATGTATAATTCAATCAATTTCAACGCCAGCGAGAAGTTGATGTAGGTTTTCCTGTAATTTTGGTAGAGTTCTCTCCATTGCAATATTGCGGTTGTTGCTGTTTATTTAACTAGTTTTTTCTCTGAGAGTGACACGTTTTTGATTGATCACTTAGGACGAAGTCCTCGTGGTGTCAGTGACAGTGCCTTTATCTCAATCTCTAAGAAAATCACAACGTTGGAGATGAAGGAGCTAAACGAGCGACAGCGAGCTGACCATGCTGTACGGATGCACGAACAACAACGTAAAACCATCACAGATTTAGAAGAAAGAAACTTAGAACTGGAACAAAAATTTGCCGAGGTATAGTACATAGAGTCATCCGTCGAACTTACTTGAGTCAAATAGTTTTCAACATTACTGACTTGTTTAAGTGAAGCATAGGGATTACGGTTCTTGCTATTCAATGCTATTTAACCCTTTGCGTGCCATTGTGAATTTTTGGCGCCATCTACAGAATGATTTTGTAAAGTCTGCTGTTCAAATGGACACAGGTATATTACAATGTAATTGGTGAAGGCATCGTTTAACAATAGACCATTTTCCGTACACTGCGAGAATCACGCGTTATGCGTGAAATCGAACGTAAAAACAGGACAAACAAAGGTCATAGCGTCGTAGTGGCGTCAAACATCGCGTGGGATTCGACAAACGCGAAAGTATTTCGGGGACATTTCCATGCTTAATAATGTGCTGTCCACATTTGATGATAGGCAATTTCGATTAAGTGAGGGTATTCGGAAGCAATATTCCTCTGTCGAATGTCAATGTAAGCTGCGAAATAAAGAAATTCTAGTTCAAAATCAAATCGTTCGATTTTTGCGGCAGACGTTCGACGCGCGTCTTTCATGCATCTCGCGAGGTCTCGCAATTGTTCGGAAAATCACCTATTGGTGAAGGCATCGTTTAACAATTGCGTTAGAACTGCGTTACATAGAATGTCCTACTTTTTCCTGCCAAAATGTTGCAATTTTTTTTTTTTCATTTTTACTATATTTTTGTCAATGATTTTGAACTAACATAATCTCCTATTGGCTAAAAGGTCTTGCTCATAATTTATTTGTAAAAGATGACAAAGCTGACTGGCATTCAAAAAAAAATAAAAGCGGAAAATGGCAGCCATTTTGCAAACAAACTGGTATATCACAAACGAGCTATTGAATGTCACATTTTTTATTAATTTGTTGTACTAAGTTTAAATCAATGTGAAATCATAATTCATCCTGTCTTTATTTAATCTTTGAATTTTAACCTCTGACCTTTTAAGTAATTTTTCACAAAATACGCCTGCACAATTTTTCTATTTTTGGCCAAGATGCATAGCCAACCTAAAATGTTGTTCATTTGGTTTGAAATTCAAAAAAGAGAATACAAAATGTACATAGAAATTTGAAAAATATTCCATCAACATTTTGGCTGGAAAAGTTATCACAAGTTAGGATGTTTAACACTGAACTAACGGACAATTCTTTGGATAAATGACGAGTGAGATAATCCTCATGTCTTGACTAAGTTGCATCTAACATTTATGCATACAGTGAGATTCTGAGAAATAAATAAAAACACTTTTTTTTTTTTTCGCAGCTGACTAGAATGAACCTGGAATCGCAATCTATAGAAAGGGAACTACGAGATGAACTCGCTAACTGCGTTACCAAAAGTGTACACGACTCAGTCGTAAAGAAATTAGAAGAGACTCAGAAATTAGAAATAAATTTAAAAATAGAGAATTCCAAGCTCAAGGTATTAAAATATGTTTTGTTTAATTTCCAGCATTGTAACGTCAATTAGTGAAACAAACGCCATTCACAGGGTTGATAATGTTTTGATCTGTTGTCATATGTCAATAAACTTTTAATTAATAATATTATAAGCTCCGCTGTCATCGTAGATATCGTTCTCTATCCATCCATGTCATTTTGACGCCACAGACATACTTATGGATGGCGGGAGCTATTTAAAGTAAATTACAATTGATATCTTGAATTTTTGTTCAGATTTACTGTTTTACTAAATTTACAAATTAACGTTGTGTTAAGGAAATGTCTGAAGTGGCTGCTGCACAGACAGAAGCGTTAGAAGCCAGACAGGTGTCACGTGAGAAGGAGCTTACATCATTGAGAAAACAGCTAATGGACATCCAGACGCAAAGTGATGAAAAGGCAATCATTGGTAAGATTCCATCTCACATTTTATCATTTGTTTAAAGCGGGGGAGTTGTCACCTACGCATGCGTCAGAGGGCCATAGCATGTCATTATTTACAAACAAGCCTCTACCCATGAGCCTTTGCTTTTTTAGCGCGTGTTGTTATCGTCGCTTGGGACTCAATTTCTGCGCGTGCGCAGGTGACGACCCTCCCGCTTTAATATCTAGTTGAGCTTTTTGAAGGAGATTGCCTCAAAACATGCCAATTTTGTCATAAATGATCCAACATGACCACCACACTACCAAAATACGTGAGCATAAAAGTTCAGAGGTAAAACAGAGGGATTGTTGTAGACTGGTATGCAATTTACGTTGGGCAGGGAGATGTGACGTTTACACAGCTATACGAGAGATCGGTAGCAGCAAGCGAGTTTCACCCAGACAACTTTAAGGACATATTGTCCAGAGTGGCTGTCCCGCGTTTCTTCCGCAATGATGAGAGAAATGTGAGAGGAGTGGAGGTGTATGGTGGCCTAAAAGTCAGTCAGGTGACAAGTCAGTTCGGTTGCTTTGTCCACATTGAAGTCGACAAACTGCAGCGGAAGCTCCTCGACCGAAGTCCCCTTTCGAGATGAAGAAAAGTTTCTTATTATTTTTGTTTTCATTTTCTGATTCGGATAATTTGCTTGCATACACAGTCAGTAATATTTTTATCATATGACAAATTTTCATCAAGATACATGTACATAATTGTCTGCATCCAAATTTTGTTGACTCTCTGTTGATGTTTTTTTTTTCAATATCGAGCCTCTTATAATGTGTTACATAGTTGAAGTAGTTCTAGAGCATTTGTGTCTACACTTAGTCTATCTGAAGTGTCACTTAAAAAGCTGTAGTTTGAATGTCAAAGAAGTTAATTTCCAGGTTGCTGTTGACAAACTTATTGTTCATTTTTAATTATTTTGTTTTTCAATACAACACAGTAAGTTTTTCTTTATTATTGAGTTGATGTGTATGCCTTTGGCAAAGCTAACATCTGCATTATCCTCTTGCCTTTTCAAAATCAAAGGTGATGATATCTGTGACAGTCATACAGTACGAGATGTGTACATCAACATGTACAACCTCCTACAAATGAAGACTTGTTGTTTTTTTGATACACTGTGGTTCAATTTGTAATAACAGCTCCGTAGTCCTGTGGTTTTAGTGGCATTTTTTTTTTGGCAGGATTTTTTTTTTTGTTTTTCGCCCTCTCGCATTAGTTTTGGGGTCTTCAGAGGATGTCATCCATAAATTTAAATCAGTGTGGCCTAAGTGGAAATTTCTTTCCCATAACGCATTGTCATAATCACAACTTAAATTTTGCTCCAACTTAAAATACATATTGTTATAATTGGTGTACTAGGTAAATTACATCACCATATCGTGGCGCTGCAGGTCAGTGAGGGAACCGCCGTACAGAAGTACGACCAGGCTCAGCAGAAGGTGAAAAAACTAGAAGCACATGCACTGAGACTTGAACAGAAATGTGATGAGCGAGAGCAAGCGTTGTACCATAACAAAGTAGATGCTAGGAATAAATCTAAGCATCTTAAGCGAACCATACAGGTCAGTCAGTTACTGTAAAAACTTTATTTTCAACTTTGTTTTTATCTTTATATTTATTTGATGGAACCATTATAGCACAGCTCTGCAGTCTTCAGATTGCATTTTTAATGGCCCATCCTTCGTTAACTCTGTATACAAATGCATTATTCCTGTATATTAACATATTACATATGCCATCATTTTTATTGTTTTTTATAGTAAAAAAATCAAATCGTATCTCAACATTTGATTTGGTTACAAATGGTGAAAAAATCATATGACAGAGTTATAATCAAGCTTTCTGTCGGTTGTTGATAAATTACTAAAAAAAAATTTATTGTATTTTGTTTGTCACAGGATTTAAGAAGACAGTTTAGTGGTGCAGTGCCTCTAAGTCAACAAGAACGATTCTCCAAAGCCATGATTAAATTAAAACAAGACAAAGAGAAGACTGAGGTAGAACTGAAAATTGTAAGTACTGGAAATGCTTTTTAAAATGGTAATTTAGTAAATTCTGATGTTTATAAGAAAAAACTAAACGCTCATTAGCGGTGAATCATTGTCAGTTTATAGCACAAATAAAATGCATGTGACCCTTGCTTATCCGCCCTTTATATTGTAGTGATGTTATTTGTTTCCTCCAGTGTCAAATTAAAATTTGTACATTCTTCAGCACACATTACACAGATTGGTGTTGACTTTGAGAAAAAACAAAAACGCAATTTTTGTATGTTGCCAGGCAAAGTACGAAAGAGAAAAAGTTGAAGACAAGCTAGCTGAGATTGAGCTTCAACACAAAGGAATTCAAGAACTCATAGAGACGATCAAAGACGGTAAAGGGGCGAGTAAAGTGGCTGAATGGCACAGTAAATTACAAGAAATGAGATTACAGGAACTCAAACAAAATAGACAAATTAATAAACTCAAAGAACATGTAAGTAAAGACAGCGAATGGGGTATTATTATTCCATTTTGTATCTGCACACCCACTAGTGGATTTTATAAAGGATGGTAAATGGAGAATCATGGGTAATATACATAGAGAATCATTGTGTGAATTTCCACAATGGAATATGGTACGAACAAAAATTGAAACTCGTCTGCATGAGGGAGGGGGCAGATATAATTAGAATTGCTCATTGTGTGAATATATTTAAGCTTATTCATGGCGACTTCTGTTTAACCCATTCAACATCAACTTTTGTTCTAGTTCACAAATAAAAGTTCATTATTTTTATGGAAATATATATTCCTTGTCAATGTAGACATTAATGTTACTGATTTCAATTACCAGTATATGGAATGAAAAGGATAAAAACTTTTTGATTCTTTGTGTTTTAGTTATTCCCGGTACATACCCAGACATTTTCTTTGCAAAGTAGTAAATGATATAGGCAATACAAGTGCCTCTTATCTAGCAATGCAATGCTGACAGAGTATCCTGATCTGTTCGTAGGTCTGCCTCAGTCATCACACCGACTTACAATATAATATGTAATTTTTCTCTTAGTCTAAATACATAGAAGGAATTAATCTGAATCACGAACGCAGCATTACGAGCCTAGAGGAGGACAATGTTCGCATCGCAAAGGAATGTGAGGATAAACAGTTACTATGGGAACAAAGAGAGGTTGAGCTTGAACGTCAATTAGATGCACTGGAGAGACAACACCAAGCAATGGCTGCTGCAGCACAGAGGGTAAGTAACACTAAGCCATGTAAAGATTACTTATGATAAGTATTTATTTTGGAGGTACAAATATACTACTATGATCAGATCACTCACAAAAGTGAAACATATTAATTTATAATTTCATATTATTTCGTTTCTTAGTTTGAGGAAGCAACCGGCTCATTACCTGATCCTACTTTACCGGTCGCCAATCAATTAGAGCATGCAATACGAATGATCAAAGAACATATCAAAACTATTCTAGACAACCAGGCTGAGAACAGAGACTTGAAAAAGGTATGTGTGACACTTTCATTGAATCTCAAATTGTAGTTCACAAAATAGCTCTATCTGCATATTAGTTAGGTAATTTGCATATCAGTAATCTTTTGAATGCCAAAGTCAACCTCCACAAAATAGTTCTATGCATTTTTTGTGCATATCAATTAGATAATTGGCATATTAACATTCTTTTGAACACCAAAGTCAACTTTTGTGACATTCATAAAATACAGTGTAGTTGTATGTACTCTTTGTGCATATTAATTAGTTAATTTGCATATCATTAGCATTAAAGCTTGTTTGTTTACAGAAAGCTTCTGAACTTGAAAAACAACTTAAAAATGTAGAGGAGAATCTCTTATCACGAGATAAGGTGATCAACGAGCTAAGATTACGTTTACCAGCAACAAGTGACCGTGATGAGTACTTCCTGGAAAAGACGTCTCAAGGAATACGCTACAGAGAAGTTGAGGAATCGTATGAAAATAAACAGGCTATGAAAATAGCACAGTCACAGCTGTCAGGCTTACAAGTAAGTGCAGAGAGTGAAGGTAAAAGCCACTATTATATAATTTTTTAGGTATTTTCTATTATTGTTCATGATCTGTTCATCTGCTGTGAAATCTTCATTGCTGCAATATTTGAAATTTTTCTCGAGTCACGAAATTCATGGAACATTTGTTTCCTGCAAAGTAGAATCCTAATGGTTTTCAATAATTTTATGTTTACAGGAAAGACTCCAAGCCAAAGAGGAAGGTCTACAGAAGTACATTAGGTTACTGGAACAAGCAAGACAAGTAAGGAAATATTAACTCTGATTTAAAACTTGCATTACAATCTTGAAAATGCCGTCATATCTACATATCTTTCATCTATGATATGGCATTTATTAAAAGGTCAAAGTTTAAACAGAGCGTGTTGGAATTTAATGAAAACAAACTTTTTTTAACATTTGTATACATCACATGGGATATGCATTGACAGGACAACTGTGGCGCTTCAGTATTTATACGAATCGCAATTTTTACCATCTCGGCAGTTATTGTTTTGTTAATTGACCTAGTCGGAACCGAATACGCTAAAATGTAATGATTTTGTTAATGTTGCAGGAGCTGACTGACGAGAGAAAGCTGCATAATGATGAGATGAGACTGATGCAGAGGAAACTTGATGACGCAACAAGTCGTGCATTTATGGATTTTAAACAGAGAGCCACGGTGAGCATGCATAGTGCACACAAACCCTAACCAGAATGATTCCAGATATTTGTCTGTCAATTGTTTTTTTCAAATTCGATATATTACAAAATTTCTCTGCCAAGTGGGGGTGATTGGATATTGGTGAAAAACTGAGTTCAGAAATTTTGATGATTTTTGGAAAAGGGATTTTCCTTGTTACATCATAATATTTGCATTAGTTTGACAATTCTCCTATTCTCAAATATTTTGCACATTTTTTTGTTCCTTTTTTACCATTTCCACCAGCAGTTCCCTCTTTCATCACAAATTCACAAAATAGTCTTGTTAATATTCTGCACCTCCCTTTAGAACTCTGAGACAAAAATAGCCATTTGTTTTAGTAAAAGCAGAAAATTTACTCAAATGTTGTCAGTTGGCTCCAAAATTAGGGTTCATTTCCAGAAATATTGAAGAATATAAGAAAAAAGTGCAGACAAATTTCGGGAAATAGTCTGGTGCCGAAAAGGTTAACACATTGTCTACTAAAAATAACCAAATCAATGGAGGAAAAAAAGGGCATCAGAAATTTTAATACTGCCTTTGGTGTCATTGTCAATTTTGTGTTGAATAGGAACTTGTAAATAAGCCTTCACCAGGTTTGTTGACAAATAAACAACTGGCAGAGTTGGATGAGTTGAAGGACATGGTGGCTGAGCAGGACAATGCGTTGTCAACAATGAACCTGAAATTGAAAGCATCAAACACGGAAATAGCAAAATGGAAGGAAGTTGTTGAGAGAAGAAACAAAGATCATATAAATGAGAAACAGAAGTAAGGATTTAAAGATTTTCATTCATTCCCATTTATTAGTCACCTTTTATTTATCATGCATTGGCTTTTGTCTGTACATTTGTCTGTTTACTCATTGCATAGATGAATGTACCGTAAAAACTTGATTAATTCGCGGTCCCTATTAATTCGTGCACCCATTTTATTTTCGAACGCTAATTTTTAAATGTATCCTTTTAATTTGTGGCGTTCAAAAATCATGTTTAAAATTGTATCCTTCGCGAGCCAGAATAAAGTGGATAGTTCAGAATATATTGCATGAAGACATTAAAAATATACATTTTGTTTGAGTTTTTTAGTTATCAGTACTTGATTTAGCCATGGTGTAGCCGCAATCGTGGACAATCTTCGTCATCCTAGCCTTTCAGTTAGCACAGACCACTAGATTTGACCTGAAAAAAATCACTTCCCCACGACACTACAGATGTTGGACAAGATTATTACTTAGTCGATAAATATCCATCGGTCAGCACATCGATTGCGAATTTTCGTAGCTGGTCCACAGGGTTGCATCGACGTAACCTATGGTGCGTAAATTGACGTTTTTGATTGGTCGGGCGATTGACCTCGTGTCACATTTTCATTGTACCAGATTCGGTTAAGCGGTCATGTACGTTCTATGAATTTTTTTGTCCAAAAAAGACGTTTCCTTTCGTTTAACCCCAGTTAATTCTTCCCGTTCATGGTATTTGTGAGAGTTGAAAGATTTTTTGAACAAATGACAAGTAACTATATTGATTTGCGTCAAGCTGGGTGACCCGAATTTAAATATCAGTGCATGAACTCTGGAGGTCATTGTCCAATGCCGCACGTAATTCAAACGCGTGGTTATCAGAGTTCAGTCAAAATGTACGTTAATAATGCAATCAAAGTGCGCTGCCCAGAGTTTATTATATTATAATAGTAAACTTTATTAATTTGACGTATGATATGTTTATGTTTGTGTAATTATTACGAATGCAACGCATTATCAAGTCGGTGATATTGAAATATTCACAGACCCAATACCCTGGGTCAGTGCCCTAACAATAGTAAAAAAAAATAATTATCATAGCATGAAAGCAATACATTACGAAGTTGAAATATTCAGAGCCGGTACAATATTGTAATCAAGTTTGTGTAATTAGAAAAGCAGTGCACTAAGTAAACGATGTTGATATATTCAAAGCCAATACAGAGTTGGATACAGTACCGTCGGATATAATAACAATTTTACTAGATTGACGCGCGGGGCAGAAAGAAAAAGGTTGCTAAGGTAACGTGCCAGTTCACTGCGTGACTTGATGTCAGCATGGGCGCGCAGCAAGTTTCGCAAAGAAGTACTTGAAGTTCTATAGCACCCCAAAATGATGTCGCTGATCACTCAGTTGTCGCAGCGTGTGTTGTGTCATGTCCATGATGCACACCGTTTCGACTTTGGCTTGCTTTTCCTTCTTAGTGCATGTTCTTGTTCACGTAAAATGCGACCTCTCACCAATGTATTAAAACACTTTGAATTTATACTTTGCATGATTATATTTGGTCAACGCGAAACATTATTTTTTCTAAACATTTTCTGAGACCATTTTTATCAACGCGGGGTTATTTTTCCAGACAAGATGGGCTTCGTAATATCTGCCATAACATCGCCCGGGCGATCTTTTGGTCCACATTTTTCTAAAAAAAAATCAAATCCTCCATAAGATCGCCCAGAGCGGGGTATTAGCCGAATCCGGTAGATGGAAGTGCTTGACAAAAAAAAAACAATCATGTAAGCAATGAACACATGGCTACAAAAATGCAATCAACGGGGCAGAAGACCACCTTATCCGAAGCAACACTGAAATAGCAGAAATCGAGCTGTCGAACAATTAATAATTTGTGTCTGACGGTACTGCCTGTGGCAGTGCAGCCAGACGGCTACTTTGTAGCCACGTGTTCATTGTTTGTTTGTGTACAGAGTGACCTTTGCCATTTCACTGTTCCATTTCAAGTGTAACATGGTGCGTGGTCTTTGACGCAGTGCATGTTTTCTGCCCGACTATGCCATGAATGTAGCTAGCCACTAGTCTCAGAGGCACTAAAACAACATCCTGTCATCGTGTTCATGGGAAAACAAAACAAATCACTAATAAATTTATGAAAACAGCTCCTTTTTGAATCGATCTAAAAGTACTCTTTTAATTCGCGCACCAAAAACCAATAATTTCCATTTTTACGCTATTAATTCGCGCATTTGAAAAAATAATTATTTTTACTACCGCGAATTAATCGAGTTTTTACAGTAAACATCATTTTGTTTAACAATCTGATCAAATATGGCTGCCTGATGGCCAGTAAAACTCTGTACAATTGTATTCTCACTGACAAAGGGTAGACATCCTTCATAATAGCTTGGATTTCCAGTTTTATAGTTCAGTTCCTTGTTCTGTGTAAAGAATAAACCTACATCATCCTTAGATACACCCCTAGACAATGACAATGTCTTTTTACTTTCTAGATTAACCAAAGAAAAAGAAGCCATTATCAAAAAAATGAACGGTAATCTTGAGGAGCAGAAAAATATAGTGCAAGAAAAACAAAAAGAAGTATGTACCTATTTAATGTAATATAAGACTGCACTCTCAGATTTCATGATTTCAAATCTCTAATTTTCTAGAGAATATTTTTGTCATTGGTAAAAAATGCTGTGTTCAACAGTCTAACTATACAGCCAATATGCTGCTTGTTGTAATTATTTGTAAAATGTAATATTTTTGACTTCTTCTCCTTGAAAACTGCAGGTCGGATTGCTTTCATATTTTGTATTTGACTTCCATGTCTGTTTATAACTTGCCTTCTCGTCAACTTTACGAAGAGAATTATGCTTAAATTTTGTCAAACTAGTAAACTATAAGAAAAAATATTGAAATCATAATATACAAATATTAATAATTGTATGCGACATAAATATTTATTACTCAATGCATTTTGAATATTGAAAAGAAAAGTTTCATGGAGCACTCTGACCATGACCATTGAGTGTAGCTGAAATCCTTCCTCTCATATCTTCGGGGGCGGAGCTATGTCACGGACGTTCTACGTTGCTAAGACGCGCACCACTGTACCACGTATTTCTATGGGCTCTGTGCGCGCTGCTGTGGAACGCCGGTGGAGCCGGTGAAAACTCGAGAAAACAACACAAATTCAACTTTGAAGTAATCCTGAACAACCAAATTCATATATGTTACACACGTAGGGTTAATCTTTTTACACTGTTCAAGGGGACTCCCAACAACCATCGCAAAGTACCGTTTTCTGCGAGTTTTGGGTCTTTGTTTTCACCGCGAGGGTTGCCAGGCGGTGAAAATGCCCGGATGTCCGCCCCCGAGGATACCCTAACCTGTGATTTTAAACAACTTTTCACTGTCATCCGCAGATTGATATGCTGAATACAGAGCTTACAACCCAGAAGGAAGCCAATGCAAGGGCTCCAACAACCAGTATGAAGAACCTGGTGGATCGGTTGAGAAATCAATTGGCACTGAAAGAAAAACAACACAAGGTAATGTCATCTCTAATGCTGTGACAAATCACATGCTTGTCGTATTAAAGAGGAACTCTTCAATCTCAGGGATGTCATTATGATATTCTTGGAGCCAGATTGGCACTGCTGTGTGTGTGTGTGTGTGTGTGTGTGTGTGTGTGGGTGTGTGTGTGTGTGTGTGTGTGTGTGTGTGTGTGTACTTTTAGTCTCCAGCATAATTAAGATCAAAGTCTAATCATAACTACCCAACATGCCAACAAAAATCTACAGGGGAAGTTACTGAATTCAAAAAAAATGTACGGTCAAATCTGTGTAAAGTATTGTTCTTCATAGACAGGTGGCCTTTATGCAGAAATTGATTAAATAATTTGTTACTGAAATAGGACAATAATTTCTCAGTTTATCGAGGCAATTTGTCAACAGATATTTGATATTCACTTGTCTTGGTTAAACGAAAAATTTTGATTGTTTGAATTGTGTGAAACTAAAAATGCACTTGTCTTGTGGCCTCTATTATTAACACATGCATTTAACTTAAAGCGAGTGAGTCGTAACTTGCGCATGCGTCAGTTGGACGTAGCGTGTCATTGTTTACATTGTTTGCGTTTTTAGCGTGTGTTGTTATCGTCACTTGAGACTCAATTCCCGTGCATATGCAGGTGACGACCCTCCCGCTTTAACCAATTCCAAAAGGCGGTATCTAGCCATACATGTATTAATCTGTATGTACAGGTTACTAGCTGTAAAATCTTAAATGGTACATTGTAACACAGGTGATGCGGCTTCTATTAGAGCATCTACACATACGAGAAATTGTAAATGTTTGGTTCTCAATTGGTAAAAAAGAACTGGTGTAACTTATATTAGAGATGCGGCTTCTAATACAGATTTTACGGTATACATGTAATCCTACGAGGACGGCACAAATGTGGTCACTATGGGCTAATGGTCTTTATTATAGCAATTGTTGCTGACACACATTTGAGTGTATTATTATTTCTACTACTTCAATACTCAGAATTGTTGGTGTTTCTGGGGCAGGCGGACAAGTATCTTGACTAAGTTTCATTTATGGTATGTTTGTCCTTTTTTTTACAGTCTTTAAGCCAAGCCCTGATGCAGATTAGAGCCGACATGATACAGACAGCACAGGACAACGTCAAAGCCAATGCAGAGGAATCCCAATTACAGAATAACATACAGCGAGTGGTTGACAAGCAAACAAGGCAAATACAGGTATCATATTCAACCGACTTAACTCTCACTTTTGTATGATTTCTGTTTTTCTGGGTTTAGTTTGACTTAGTGCACACCCTTTCTGAAACACCCCAACTGTTAAACATGGTTGTTGTGGGTCATTGTTTTACCTTTCCAAACAATAAAAATACAGCACTGGTTTGTTGTGATTGCATCTTTTCCACTATTTGGGTTATTTTATATAGTTTATATAAACCTGATACATTCTATCCTATTTTTTTACCATAACCTGTATATAGTAGGAAATAACGTTTATTGGTCCAAAATTTACAATGAATTTAACTAAAGTTCAATTATATGTATGCTTTCTAGCCTTTCATAACAAACTTGCACATTCCTCTGCCTTGTACAGGACGAACTAGAAGATGCAAAGGCGAGAGCTGAAAAATCACGCAAAGATCTGAAAAAACAGAAGTTAAAGGAAGAGTCCCTAGCTGCAGAGATAACTGAAATCAAAGAGGTTTGAAGATTTTTTTTTTTTTGATTGTTCCCTGAAGTCACACAAGTTCCTCCTGATTTTGTTTTGTTCTGTTGCTAATTGCTAGTGCACATATTAATCTCCAAACCAAATACTACATACTGTAAAATACTTTATTTTAGCTGGAATAAATTTTCGCTGAAAAGACTTTTTGGGAGTTTTTGTATGGAATTTATTTTCACTGAATCCTCCCTTTAGCGAAAATTTATTCAAGAGAAAATAAAGTATTTTACAGTAGCAGACTGTGCTCTGATTTATACAGCTGAATACAGCTTTATGAATTAAACTGACATTCTTCCTGAAGTGAGACAAAAAAGTTAACCACTATACCATTACAGAGGTTTGAAAATTAAAGTGTAGTGTTATATTTTCAAACCTCATCACATTTTTGATTTGATACAATCATTGAGAACACGATCATCACGAAAGCCACTATTTTACTTCACACGTAAGACATCCATTGCCACTAACAAATTTGTCAATGTTTGTTTCAAATAAGCATTATGTTTATAATTACTTCTTGATTTGGACAAACAAATATGTAAATAAAAATTGTCATAGCAACAGATCTATTTCTAAATTTTGTTGAGGAATTAACTTGCTTGTTATCATTTATCACTGAAAAACCCTGACCAAATAACACAGTTCACAACAATACTCATTCTTGATACGCTAAACAATCTTCTATGATTTTGTTTGCTTCATTTTTAGTAATGTGTAATTGTGATAAACTTTACTAACTAAAACAATTACCAATTAACAATTTATATGTAAATTTTTTTTAATCGTTTAAAATATATAGGAACTTGAAAAGAAGGACACAGTGGTGCAGAGATTAAAACTAGAAAAGAAGAAGATGGAGAAAGAAATTGAGGACTTAGAGAAGACAAACGATCGGCTGGCTGCCAAGAATCAGGTAACAACCCTCACTGTTGATGACCAGTTTTGTAAATTATATTTTTACAAAAGATTTTTACATGAGTGTGTGCAATCTTTTGTGGTATATTCAGCTTGATTTTATTGTACCCTAAGTAGGTTTTTTGAGCTAAGACAAAAAAAAAATCTTGTGTTTCCACTAACAGGATAACAAAATATTAGGTTTGTATTATATTCGATTGTAATCTGAAATCATATTATATGTTATGATGACAGAGAGTTCTAGATGCAGATGCAAAACAAGCAGAGATCGAAGAGCTGAGCCGAAAAGTAAAAATCCTTGAAAACCGACTGAAGGATGAGAAACAGAGAAAAACAGGAATGGGAACATTGTCACAGACAATGAAGAAAGAGGAGGTATGGAATAAGTTGTTTATATCACCTGTCTCTAAAATGCATGTACATGTACATAGTTTTCGGATTATGAATCACTGAATTACATTACAAGTTCCTTTAACTCACTGCCAAGTGTTAAAGTTCCTTTAACTCACTGCCAATGATACAAGTCCCTTTAACTCACTGCCCAGTGATACAAGTTCCTTTAACTCACTGCCCAGTGATACAAGTTCTTTTAACTCATTGCCAAATGATACAAGTTCCTTTAACTCACGGCGGAGTGATACAAGTTCCTATAACTCACTGCAAAGTGAAATCCAGTATAGTTTTTTGTAACACAAAATGTGATCAGACTCGCTGAAAGTTTATTTTTCGAAATTACAGTAGTGTACAGTTAATACAATATAAATAAATCACATTTTCTACAATGGTTGTGTGCATTGCTTGCAGTCTGCTGTGGAAGTCGCTAAGTGGGAAGAAAGCAAAAAATGGGAGAAGAGGGTAGAGAGTCTGAGAAGCAGAATAAAAGAAAAGGACAAAGAAATCGAACAGCTGCAGAAGCAAAACCAAATGATGAAAGATGCCCTATCAAGGTAAAATAAGAATGGCCACTAGAGGGCAGTGTGTCATGAATTGTGACCACTAGAGAGTGCTATTTGGTTGATAAATTTTGACAAGATTAGATTTAGAATAAAAATTTGACACTAAAAATAATTCGACATGATTCTGAGAATGGGCTTGAAATAGTTCACAAAAGGGGAACTCTCAGCTCTACAAAGTGTTAGAATTGGTTGGTGAGGGTCTTATCCCGCAGAACCTATGAGGGCATTATATGTTGTATTAATGACCACTAGATCATTATTGGTCACTAGAGGGCATTATATGTTGTATCAATGACCACTAGATCATTATTGTCACTAGAGGGCATTATATGTTGTATCAATGACCACTAGATCATTATTGGTCACTAGAGGGCATTATATGTTGTATTAATGACCACTAGATCATTATTGGTCACTAGAGGGCATTATATGTTGTATCAATGACCACTAGATCATTATTGTCACTAGAGGGCATTATATGTTGTATTAATGACCACTAGATCATTAATGGTCACTAGAGGGCATTATTTGAATAATAACACATGTTTGTGAGGGTAATATCACGATTTGTTGCCTGCCCAAGGGATGGTGGTCATGACCATAATATTGTTGCCAGAGCCGAAGGTGAAGGCCCGAGGGCAGACAGCAAATCGTGATATTGCCCAAATGACCGTGTGTTATTTATTTCTCAAACGCAAGTTATTGAGCCACTCGCCAGATAGAAATGTCAGAGTGCCGTAGAAGTGTTGAAATTACTTTCTCACAAATGTACTACACCTTCTATTCAGAAGTCACACAGCTTAGATCGTTTTCGGTTAGCATCGACATGGAACTTAAATGTGTAGAAATGCTCACAGCGTAGAACGTGCCGCAGCGATCTTGGTTGCGAGTTTTCAGCGGCGGCTTTGACACACATTTTTGTTTCATATAGAATACCCTAAACATCACAACAGAGTATCTTACTCAATATCCATTCTGGCACGTTCGCTGTCTATTTCGATGGCTAAAGTTCCTTCAAAACCTTGAAAGCAGCACGGGGAAGCACCAGTGCAGCAACAATTTGTTATGCGCAGTATCGTTGCGCAGTGATATACCCGTGTAATATCCACTTGGCGAGCAATATACCATGTAATATCCATTTTTATTCAATGTCATATGACAGAGTTTCAACCAATCATAGCAGGCGTAACAGCAGTGAAATGTGATGAATGGTTCTATTAATGACCACTAGATCATTATTTGTCACTAGAGGGCATTATATAGCTGATATGACTCTCATAATGTATACAATGCATATAAAATACACCACCCTTTAATGAAGCAGTCGCATTTTAGAAAATTAATAATACTTATAATAAAATTCAACTGATTTAAACTATAAATTTCTTTCTTTTGTACATAATGTAACAGAGCTGACAGAGATAAAATATCCTTACATCATAAACTAAAGAAGACTGGCGCTGCTGAACCTTTGTTATCTAAGACAACAGACATGTCAATGTTATCTGCTAGACCATCAGATTCAAAGATTCAAGATTTACAACGCAAGAATTATGAACTGGAAGATGAGGTACATGTACATTTTGTTGACAAAATATTAAATCAAGTTTGAATCACACTTTTTGAATATATGTAAAATATATGTAAAATAAAATGTTGTTTTTCTGCTAGAAAATATATGTATATTAAAATGGTGTTTTTTTGCTAGAAAATATGAAATATTTTATTAAAATAGCCTGGCTTACCTGCTGTGACCTTTTCACATAGTTAATAGAGTGTGCTGGAGATTTGTATTCGTTGAACAAACAAACATTTACTGTGTATCTCAGCTCTGAGTTTATACTGTTTACAAATCTAACATAATTTAGTAGGTCCTCTTAACTTCATATTCTGCAAGTGATTTCACATTGGGCCATTCCAGTTTATATCTGCATTCCCCCCCCCCCCTCCTGTTGATGTGGTCGGATTTCCATTACTGTATGGTGAATGGTGATTTGGAAATAAATCTTTGTATGACTTATACACCCATGGAAATTATACCCTGTATGAAGTATACACACAAGCTCATCAACAGGGGGGTGCAGATATAAAATGGAATGGCCCATTACCCTTCCACAAACTGTTAATTTGATGTTGTATATACCTTTTCACCACCAGACTTTCTCGCCCAAATTTGTCTGCACTTTTTTCTTGTATTCTTCAATATTCTTAGAAATGAATCCTAATTTTGGAGCCCAACAGACAAAATTTGAGTCAGTTTTCAGTTTTTACCTGAAAAATGCTTCATTTTTGTCTCAATCTTCTGAAGGAAAGTGCAAACTATAAATGGAACTATTTTGTGAATTTGTGATGAAAAGATGAAACTGGTGGTGAAAAGGATTATACCATATTTGTAAGGGGATGATACCTAACAGATTTACAATGTTGGAAATAACTTTAATTCTGTGCTTCATTTATCTATTATATAATATAAACAAAGAAATGCAACTATTCAAACCATCCATGTGGTCCAACACCAAAAAAGGTGACCTTCCCCTACCCATGGTGAGCATGCCACAGACTCGGGGAGTCAACTGGCCTTGACTCTTTAATTAATGGACTCTACCACTTTGTGGGGGTGTGAGCTAAGTTCTGCAGGTGTTCAGTTGCGTTTGATATATTGAATGAAACTGTGATGTCAGAGCATGATGTCATCGGGCAATGTGATGTCACAAAGTCAGAATATCACAAGATTTAACCCCACAAATTAAAATAGTTTTCTTTCTTAATTTTACAGATTTCATCATTGAAGCGACAATTGGCAATGAGCAGAGATGCTGCCTTTGAAGAAGTTCAAACCAGAAACAGATTACTCAGTGAAAAACTGCAAGTTATTGAAAAGGAATTTGCTAGGCGGACACAAGATGTAAGTCTGTTTAATCCGCCCTCTGGTGCCAGTACTTTGCAATTATTTTATGAATGGTTATAGAAGGCACATGGTAATGCCTTCACATTCAGTAATGTATGCACTAATTGGTTATCGAATCCTGTCAGGAGAGCTGTCAGAACAAGAAATGGATGGAATGATGTAGTTGGATGCAGACATCCCTTCCGCATGTATATTAAAAGCAATTGGCACTTCTATCTGCATTAGATTGGACAAAGACTTGTATTTATTGTAAATCAGGAGTCAATATTATAATTTCACAAAGTCTCAATTTTACCACAGCCTTCAGGTTCTGGAGGATACAACGAGTTCCGAGACAGAGAACAGGAATTGCAGAAACAGATCCTAAAGCTATCGGAGGAAAACATTGAGATGAAATTTGATGCAGAACAGATGAGGCGTGACGTGCCAAGATTGCGCGATCGAGTCGAAGATCTGGAAGGATATGTGAAGGCATTGAAATCTGATTTGGAAAAAGAACGAGACTTGAATCGAAGTTCTAGTAGCAGTCTGCGAAAGGTACATAATTAACCAATCTCAAATGGTTCTTACACAAAGCTAAAATTATAGTGATCTCGTTTACTCTAAATTAGTAGTTTTAGAGTCGGTTCATCCAGAGAACCTGGCACTCAGTTATCAATCTTGTATATCATTTTGGTATCAGAGATTTTGCTTAATACATTGCATTATCTATTGACGGAAAAAATGGGACATGTGCTCCCCAGTTGAAGATACAGCATCAAACACATAACCATGGACATCCACTCTTTACTCCATTTAAACCTAAGTAACACTGCGAGCAATAAACATATCTATATATGTAGTTCATAGGATTCTTCCCACAATTCAGTTGCAAAACAGGAATTTTTCAAAAGATCTGAAACAATTAATGGAAGTCCTTTAGGCTCATGCATTTTACTGTTAGGAATTATTGTGATTTCATCATTTGAGGATTTTCATGAGGACTGCATGTTTAAAAATCACTCATCTATTTTCACTACTGTAAAATGTGAATTCCATGAATTAAAACAGTTTTGGTATATTGTGACCATTAAATTTTACAGTCACTTGGCAGCAGTGGTAAAACTGCAGGTGAGCTTGAGAGGACTATAGGGTTGATGAAGAAAGTTGTAGAAAAAGTACAGTCTGAGAACGAAGAATTAAAACGAGCTCCTGGCGTCTTGTATCAAACCAAGGTCAAAGAACTGCAAGATGATAATAGATTACTAAAGGTAAGAACTAGCCAGCCTTTGTAAACTATAGAATGGTTTATCCTCTTAAGCTGCGTTGTGTTCACTAATCTGGCATATACTGATTCAGATGATAGAGGGCGGTAGCAGAATAGATGCATTTGATAGAGGGTGCTAGCAGAATAGCTGCACCTGATAGAGGGCGCTAGCAGAATAGCTGCTCATGAAAGAGGGCGGTAGCAGAATAGCTGGGCACAATATAGAGGGTGCTAGAAGAATAGCTGCACTGATAGAGGGCGCTAGAAGAATAGCTGCACTGATAGAGGGCGCTAGAAGAATAGCTGCACATGATAGAGGGTGCTAGAAGAATAGCTGCACCTGATAGAGGGCGCTAGCAGAATAGCTGCACATGATAGAGGGCGCTAGCAGAATAGCTGCTCATGAAAGAGGGTGCTAGAAGAATAGCTGCACATGATAGAGGGTGCTAGAAGAATAGCTGCACATGATAGAGGGTGCTAGAAGAATAGCTGCACCTGATAGAGGGCGCTAGCAGAATAGCTGCACATGATAGAGGGCGCCAGAAGAATAGCTGCACATGATAGAGGGCGCTAGAAGAATAGCTGCACATGATAGAGGGCGCTAGAAGAATGGCTGCACATGATAGAGGGCGCTAGAAGAATGGCTGCACATGATAGAGGGCGCTAGCAAAATAGCTGCACGTGATAGAGGGCGCAAGTAGAATAGCTGCACATAATAATGGTAGGCACTAGTAGAGAAGCTTTCGAGCAGCGCATCTGATCTTGGGGCGGCACTTTTGATCTCTAGATTGTCATTTGATTGTCTACTAGTATTTGACCTATAGTCAGCTATTTTGATTTAACATGATGATAGAGGGCGCAAACAGAATACCATCACCTAATAGTAGATGGCACTATGAGTAGTAGTTTCACTTTATGCTGGAAACCACTTAACTTGGTGGCATTTAGTGCAAGATAGTACATAGTACTATATCATTCCAGGAACATTTACACAATAGTATGCATAATCTTTTTTTTGAAAGGAACAACTGGATAAAATCCGTCTGCAATACGGTGGCCAACTGTCTATGAGGTATGAAAGCAAAGAACTTGGAATCGCTAAGGTTGTCAGTGAGAATGACAGACTGAGAAAAGAACTGAAGAGAGCAAATGACAAGATGGAGAAGGTGAAAGTTGAACGAACTCAAATGGAAGTCGAGAGAAATAAACTGTTGAGAGATTTAGACGAGGTAATGTAGTAATGTAGGTAATTTTTCACCACAAGAGGGCTATTGTAGCTTGCAGTTTTTGCTCACCATACAGTGTAATTTTACACACATTGTATCCCTGAGACCTATATTGAACATGACATGCCACAACAATTGTTGTACTTTAATTGTTACTGTAAATGCATTAATTATTCACTGGGTTTTTATTTCGCTGGTAAGTTAAATCTGCTAAATTATCTATGTGAACATGTAAAATAACAATAAAACTCATTGTTTCCTTATCAAAATTCGTGAAATTAACTTCACACACAGTGAATATGCTCAAAACATCAAAATAGTGAAATTAAATGTCAATGAAAATACAGTACCTTTATGTTTCACAACATAGACATACATGTATGAGCATAGTGCCCTCAAACCTGATATAAGTCACTGACGCACAGATATTTTCAGTAACGCAACTAATTATATTCATTGCCTTGCACATCATTGATGCAACAGATAATATTGCATTAACATAATATATGTATATATCTAAAAATTGAAAGATGTTATCAACACTGACAACGATGACGACAACATATATGCATATAAGGCGGTTAGAAGCAATTATTAAAACTATTCACGTTGTCAGATCATTGTAGTTCTATAGTATATAAATTATTAATAAAATTAATATGTGGGTTTTTTTTCTTGTATGAATAGGTCAGAGAGAAACTTGAGATTGAAGCGGCTAGAGGGCCTAGACTGGAAACAGCTGACAGCCAGAGCTGGAAATCTATTGTAGTTACAAGAATGTACGAGGAAAAAGTCAGAAATATGGAACAAGATGCCGATAAAAAGGTATGAATAGATTGAATGTCATTTTAGGATACAGTTACAGCTGTAGTTTTGTGTAATGTGCATGTTTTGTTGAATTACTAAATTTGTTGCAAGACAACACAATTATTTATACTTAATATGCAGTACTATGAGGTTATTACGAGGATACTGCAAAGTATGCATGAAGACAGTACAGCAAGAGTATCGTCGGAGGTGCAGCTGAGGTCAATGCCACCGTGTACTGTCTGAGTGCATACTTTGAGGTATCCTCGCAATAACCTTATTATTATACATCTTTTCCTCCCAGGAATACATCATGGGAATCCCAAAATTCAAAACATTTCAAACAGATTTAGCAAACTTCTTTGTGTGGGTTCCAGTCAAATCCTAAGGGCAGCCATGTTTGTTTTTTTATTATAAGAGAACGCTTACGCGCGTAATTGTTCCATATTTGGAATTTGCGTTTCCTAATATGGTAGGATGTAAATACCCAGTGCAATATCACAAAATTACGGCACGCTGCGGCGTTACAGTGACAGATGTATAATAATGTTAATTATTTTCTAATTTCTCCATACACATAGCAGTATGAACTCGCCATTGTGATTGGTCAGAATAACATATACATTTCTGATTTTGTATTTTCTGAAGTATTCATGTAATACCACATCATAATACCATAAAGTGTGAATGTCAATCAAATTGTTCTGTGGAAATGTTACTTTAAATTATATGGGGTTTGAGCACGCAAAAAAATATGAGCATTTTAAGTACACCCCAATAGTGATGTGACATTGTATGTAACAATTACGCTTGCACTTTTCAGGAAGAACACAAACATGCAAAAAGATGACACGGAAGTGAACACCAACCAACATACAATTAATTTATAACTCAGCTGTTGACAAGTCAGCATTTGCAATGAAAAAAAAAAGTCAATGAGACAACAATCTTGACATTTTGCTGTTATGTGTACCAAAAACCCTTGACAAAAATCAAAACAAAAAACTAAGAAAAATTAAATGTTCTATTTCAGAATCGTATTATACGCGATATGAAGAAATTATTAAAAGAGTCAGCAGAAAGAGAGCAAGGATTGATGCATGAAAATGAGGGAATGAAAGAGAAAGTGATGGTGCTAGAGAGGTATCCTAGTGATCTGAAAACAGACAGTGAGTCGTCAGGGAATTTCAGCAAACAAGGTGATAATACTAAATTTTTTTCATCAAAATATTATGAGTGACAATTTTTTTTGCAGCTGAGATTGGAATTCAAAGTCATTTGAATGTCCATTTTGGGGGAAAAATAAAGAATTTTACATTTGAGTTAAATGCTGGTATGTTAACAAATACAATGGAAACACAAAATAAAGTTTGGTAATCAAACAAAAAAAGTTTCTGTGTTACTATCTTCTTAAACTCAAATTAACATTACCGGTATTTCTGATCTAATTTGTTTGACACACTGCCAAGGTTTGCTAATTTTTTTCCTAGGTAACTGAACTAGTTTTATAATTTTGAACAGCAATTGTTCATATTGTAACCTATTTGCAATCCAAAATGGCCGCCAGAATACCATATGTTTATCAAAAAATCATTGTTTGCATGGAAACGTGTTTGGGTGTTGGATTTTATCACTTAGCTCTTCATCTCAATATTCAATATGACAATCAATTTTTTTCCATTATTACTTTATTTATATTTACGTAGTACTAGTAAGTCAAAAACACTGCTGTATGTATTTAGAACAGAGAACAATGTGTTGAAAAGTGCACATTGTCTGACTAGCCAGTGGTATTCTGGACAAGAAATGTTCAATTGTAGAAAGTTGAATATACAACTCTATTTTTGTTTTCATCAGATTGAAGGTAGATCGTTTAGAAAACGAGAAAGCTGAGTTATTGAATGAACTACAACTAGTTCGTAAGGAATCTAACCCACTAGCGGGAACACCCGCTGATATCGTGAGTATTACTATTCTTTCACTGTGTAAACCAATTTTCATATTTTGACAATTATATGTAATTATTCTAGCAACATTCCGTAAATACTTAAATCATTACTGTTCTAAAACAACTTCACAGTGGAATAACAGTTACTAAGGGGTTACTCGGTTCGTCACGGCTGATCGTCGATTATCAGATTGAAGTAATATAAACAAACGATAGCACTTTGCAGTATTGACGGCTAACTCTTCCTATTGGCACTCCATTGCCATTGCCATGCGACGAGCATAAAATCACGTGGTGGTATATTCGAGAAATAGAACTCTTCATGGGCGATTGGTGAACTACATCACCAACAACACATTCTCTTTGGTTACTATGGACACAGAAATGCTGCAGTGTGCAACAAAAATAGCATCTCATCACTGATCACAAGTGATCACACAGTGTATAATGTTATCATTTCTGGCTCTATTTAATTGATTACTACAAACAGAAAAAAAAAGATGTATAATAATAGGTTATCACAAGAATACCCCAAAGTATGCACTTCGCTGCAGGTTGGTTGATAAGATCACCCAACTGTCTCTGTCCATACTTTGCTATATTCTCGTAATATTCTAATATTATATGACACACAAGTACAATGTTTTAGGATTTACTGTAAAATCTGTATTAGAAGACAAACCCCTAACAATTAAGAACCAAAAATTCACCATTTCTCAGTGAGTGCTCTAATAGAAGCCGCATTCATTCTGCTGCATTGTACCAATTTAATAGAAGCCGCAGCTTTTAATACAAATTTTACAATATACAGTTTTGAGCATTTTTAGCAATGTAAATTAGTGTTTTATTATGCTACAATTTTTTGTTTTTCAGCCACAAGATGAGATTGTGGACAAAGTACGCAGTTATGATAAACTTTTAACAGAGAATGTGGAAGTCCGAACAGAAATGAAATCGCTGCAGTTGGAAAGGGATCAACTGGATCGAGAAAATGAAAAGGTATGTAGAAGCAAATCTGCATATTACAATTAACATCATTGCCCATATTTGGATATTGTATGACATCATCATTTTTAGTCCCCGTTCGAACGCAGGCTGAAAACGGGGACTTATGTTTTGACCTCTGTGCGTCTGTGTGTGCGGTCGGACCTGTATCTTAGAAATGCCTGGACCAATCACAATCAAACTTCACACATACATCATACATGATATTACCGTACTTATCCGGGTAAGAGCCCATGCCTGGACAAACGCCCACCCCCCACTTTTGACACAATAAAGAAGTTGAGGTCATATCCGGGCACACGCCCAGGGGGTCTTTTTCTACAAAAAACAAAAAAAAAAATTTTCTATTCGTTGACTGTGGTTGTATTAACAGTTGACTTTCTTGAAGTTTGTCGTGATACTTATAAAAATTGTTAATTGCGTAAAACAAGAGGTGAACGCAAACTAGCTGTGACAGCTTTCTGCCTTCAGGGCAGCGCGTTCACCGCTGATTATTTTCAGAATCATAACAGTCAGCAAGTCTATAAAAATAAATATTAAAGCAGAAACGGTAGTTCTCTTTTTGAAATATGTCGTGGTCCTAAAAAGGGCCGGCCGTTTGGTTTGTGCTTCCTTAGAAACGATTCAAGCAAATGTATAAGGAGAGCCGCTAAGCAAGTGTCGCACTCGTTCCGCTTTAGCGTCATCGACAATGAAAACAATGTTGCAATATTGTAGCAACCCGTACCTGGGATAATGGTTGAAATCACGTTATTTTGGCTTTATAAATATTTTGTAGCAGCTTGCGAATCCATAACTGGGGCCAGCGATTTTGCAATGTCATGCCAAAGACTGCCAACTTTTTTACCATCTTTTATTACCCCTATTGCATTTCTGTCATGAAAATCTATTGTTCTGTCGTTGGATAAAAAAAAACTTCCTATTTCAAGTTTGACGCGATATCCATATAGTGAGACATTCCAACCGCCAGAACTTGCTGAATGATAACTTTCACCGTGGTCGAGTCTGATAAGAAAGCAATGTCACGATTTGACCTGTATGATGAAATACTAGTAGTGATGTCATTCTTAGCCAATCAGTAAAGCAGATGCATAAAGGTCAAAGATGATTGCTAGACTGTAAACAAAAGCATC